GTTGCTAGGTGACAAGACGTACGCTGGGGTAAGGAGGGGAGGCTAGACCGTCCAAATCCACAGCCTCTTTTTTTCCGGTCTTCCCGGTCTACCAAGGACCCGGCCCGCCGAGACCAGGGAGTCTGGGTCCTCCGGAGGACCCGGCCTGTCGTTTTGGACACAGCCATAGCTGAAATCATACTGAGGGAGAAAAGAGATCTGTCCTCTCTTCTCCTGTAACTTTGATAAACATTCTCTGATTATCAAAATGCGTAATACTTTCTGTTAAGAGAACACTAAATCAAATAAGAGACGATTCTTCTGTTTTTATCTGATTTAGAAGGAAGGTGGCCTAAATACAGTTCTAAGTGGAACAGAGTTTTTGTCCATTCGAAGGCCCATCAGAGGACTGAGAGTCCAAGATAGTTCCTTGATAATTTGACTCGAGGTGACCCCTACATAGGCTTGGAAAGCACATAATATCGCCTTTATGTAAAATTCACTTTTTTACATGTTTTTATGCTTCAAACAGTCCAAGTAACAAAAAAAAAATAATACTCCCAGCTGTATTTTGACAATATATAAATGTTTTGTTAGTGTTAGCAAAGGAAGTGTTTCAAAAACCCACAGACTGTTACGTCACAATCCCTGTAACCGAGCAATGCCAAGGCGAGCCCAGCCTCTCACCTGGTGACCCAAGCGGAGACTCCGCCCACTTCATTACAGGACAACCAAGTTCTGCTGTTTTTACAACCGTCATGGAGAACAGAGATGCGTGGCTTACTTTTATTTTTGATGGCAATGTTCTAGCAATATTACCAATATGGAAATAGAAAGAATAATATAGAACAGAAAGTTGTAGTTGGCACAAATAATTTTACGATGGACTCTTTCATACGGAAGGTGCTTGCTGTGTGAAATTTGAAGTTAATAAATGATATTAACATGTCAGCAGTGATTTTTATTTGAGTCATTTTTCTGTTTTAAATGGTACAGACAGTCAATAAATCATATTATTTTACTAATGACTTTACTTCCTTTTTTAAGTTGCCCCACATGACCAATCACAGTTAAGAAAAACTCCGCCCACACACCAACCTCATCAATTATGGGTAGGGCCATCTCTGCCCACAGGGCAACATGTACTGCAGATACAGTACATGCAGATGCACTGATTGTGCACCTGCTTGTACTAGTAGCCATTTTCATGTATCTGAAGTTCTAACATAAACACTGTTGGGAGGGCGGAGCTAATGTAAACAAAAAGGTGGGAGGGCGTTGCCAACAGCAGCTTATTTGCAATAACAGCTCAAAACAGCCTCATGATGCTCAGCTTCAAGTGTTTCTGCAGGACTGAAAAGGGGAAATCTCACTATCAGACGTTCATTTTGTGAATTAAATAGATAGATTTATTTAAAACAGGGAAAATCAAATGAACACGTTTTGTATCACCTACAGATGTATCCTAACTTGTTCAAGGATCCTCTTTAACAAAGTAAAACAGGAAACTAAAGTGTGGTTTTGTTACAAAATCCTTTTAAAATGTGGAAAATGTGTGAATTAACAGCGACGGTTTGTCTGGTTGCTCACAAAGGTTAAAACTTATCTGATAAATCTTCCTTTTAGAGGGTAAAAGTTTTACTTATGACAGGAACACGAAATGAACAGATTATTACCCCACTAAGAGATAATATTGTCCCTGTTCAACAGTATATCTTAGTCACAGTGGGTTAGGGGTTAAATTCTGTATTTTATTGGAGACGGCTTCATCATCAATAACAGTTGATTTTATCGAACTGTTACCCAGTTCCATCTCTGCCAGTAGACCTTTGGTAAATGTCACCTCGCTCTTTCCTGTTTCAAACAACCCCACCAATAAAGATAAAAACTAAGATCAGCCTCGTGTTTCACCTGCGGCAGCTCCAGCGCTCTCATGACGGCAGCGAAGCCGAACAGGTTGCCCAGGGTGGTCTTCAGTTCAGCGGCGATTTGGATGATTTTATGAAGCAGAGCGGCCCGCTCCTCAGTGGTACCCGTGCAGCCCAACAGGTTTACTGCAAACACAGTGGCCATGGTCTGAAACCTGCAGGAACACAGAAAAAAATAAGAAGGGCAGATAAAGCTAAAGTTTTATGAAGTTTTTATGATTTTATGAATCAGGTAATATGAAAAAAAACTGCATTAGTCTCCAAAACCAAGAAAATAATACCTAATTATAATCAATTATTATAATTATAATGAAAGCAAGCACATGAGCGAATAAAAAAGTTTAGTTTTTAACTTTGATATAAACCATTAAATGTAGCTTTTTATTGAATCCTTGAAAAAAATGACAACACAACAAAAAAGTTGATGAATAAAGATTTTAAAACAATTCTTTTCCAGTTGCAACAAAGCTCAATGAAAGCAAATACTTATTCTCGCGATAAATTACATTTTATTCTTTTTAATTACATTTTAAATTGTTGCTTACAGCTGCTCCCAGGACAGTTTTCTGCAGGTTCCTTGTTGTGTTGTGTTTTAATAAATGCGTTTAAATTAAGTGAACTGAGGACAAAAAGTAAGGAAATTTGTGTTTGGTAGATTACTTTTTTGTTGTAACGATGCTTCTTGGCAATAAGTCTAATTCCATCGGAAAGACTGTTAATTTCCCTTTTAAATGGTGCCACATTTGTAAGGAACATGTATTTGTGGGATGAGCAGTAGAGCTGAGTATGTGAGTTGCACACATGAAAAACCTGCAAATTTTCTCTGCCAAACAGCTTATTTTACTGTTATTGACTCTTGGTTTGAGTTTCTGGTACCTCCAGTTGATGCCACTCAGCTATGAATTATTGCCAAAAGTCTTTGTTACAACTGTAAGAAATAAACCACCAAACACACACTCTTTATGCTAAATAAATTATCCTTTTATAGGATTTCATGTCACAGGGCAAATAACTTAACCCAGCTTTTATTGAGTGAAACCCCCCAAAAACTCAAAGTAAATCTTGTGGCACAATTTTCAGATTGCAACAAATGAAACCCCCAGTTTAGTGTCCATTTTATCTGTAATTAAACCTGTCACGTGTGTAATAAAGCATGCTCACCTCTCCAGCAGGTCCAGTCGTAACTGTTGGCCTTGTGGCAACGTGAGCAGCTCTGTCCCTGAACTAACTCCCATCATCCTTTGCATCTCTGGAGTCACCTCCAAAACTCTCGCCACCTAGAAAACAAACTATTTTAGACACTTTGGAAAACTGACATGTTTGTGTATGTTTGGAACCTTCATGAGGGGAGTTTGAACGTTCAATCTGTGCACTCGTGGGTTTTCTCTGGTTGCTAAAACAGCCACTCTGAGGTGGAGTTGTGATTATGTCGTTTGAAACTAAGACTTTTGCATTCCAGGTTGGATAAATGACCTTTTCTGCTTCTGAAAACTAAACCCCTCTTATGTAAGGTGATTAGTGCTTCAGTCTGAAAACAGTCACCTACTTCATTTAGTGGTGAGAAAAATTAAAGCCATTTTAGCATTTTTTCAATACCAGCTGGCTGTGGTGGCCATCTTGAATTAGTTTGGCTCCCAAAGTGAATCAGTTGTGGATGTTTTTCCAATAATTATTTCCTGAAAGGTTACTTAAAATTTATTCACACTGAGAACAAACAGAGTTCACTTTAAATAGTTACTGGCAATTCTTTAAACTAAGATCTTGCGCAATTAGCTCAGAATATACAGCGGGTAAAATAAGTATTGAACACGTCAACATTTTTCTCAGTAAATATATTACTAGAGGTGCTAATGACATG